TTTTAGGCTTTTATTTCTAATCAAACAAACAAACAAAGTTTTGGCAGCATCATGAATTGGCTGACTTTGGACTCGCCTACCAAGTGACTGCAGCGGAGAGAGAACCTTTCATACTGGTTTAAATGAGGCACATCTCTATATTTGCGCTTTGCTGAGTGCTTTATGGAGTAGTGGCAGTTGTGTCACGCTTATATTGTTATTAGACTTAGGTGGATGACGTTGTTGGGGTTCATGCACATCTCTCAATTATGGTGAAGAGAAGGGATTATGATTGTGCAAAAATTTCGAATTTACAACTAAAATATTCAAAGTTGTTTCACACAAACTTTGGAGGATGTGAATCTAGCATTCAATTGGTTAATGTTAAGTCCTGTGATGTTTAAAACATAATTAAATTGCGAGAACTGATTGTCGTATTGCAGATTAAAATTTAAGAAAACAAATATATACTTAAAACACTTGGGGTGGTCTCTCTCTTTGGTTTCAGCCCAGCATACATAGGGATGTGTGACGCAGTGAAAATTGCCAGCAATATATCTCATTGACGCCAACGAATTAGAGTCTAACATGTGATAAAAGGGTACGGCTCTAGTGGAATGCTTTGGGTGGGTTGTGTTTTTATCTTTAAAACAGAAAGGGGAACAAACTTCTACTCTGGCTGATTTGTTTAACTGATAAAAGTTTTTTCCTTCTTCTTGTCAGTTATTGGACAGTTAATCCTACAGATCTTTGTTATCGCGCAAACCTCACCTCAATATTAGAGAGTTGAAGCCTTTTGGAACCCTCCTAATCGTTGTTGTGTTTCTTGTCCTGCTTCCATGAAAGCACACCATCTCCTAACGCCATACCATATCATCAATACAGGCAACCAGAAATGTGAAAGCGAGTGTGTCTTTTCCACATAGATGTCAATGATAAAATTTAACTTATGTGTTGTATATCATCCTGTACGAATTAGTTTCCTCGCTTCTGCAAGGTTTTCCCAGCTTATATTTTAGTAATTACCACATATAGAGCATTGTAATGCATCCGGTTCATTTTTTCTCTAATCTATTCAAAATACTATTCTGTATTTATATTCAATGTAGGTATAAGCAATTATAATCTTTTCTTTTTTCTGTAACTGTATCACGTTTTATTTGTATCTGATTTTCAACCAGTTACATGTGACATGTTTATTAAGTACTGTGGTGCAAAATTGGATAGTGTACTGAGTATTCAAAAAATATTAACTTTCAAACGAATATTGTTATACATATTCCTCACTTATTAAAGACAATTTATATTAATACAATAATTAGCAGCGAAAAACACGTGACATTTACACCCTTTATTATTAAATTGATTATAAATGTATATTATCATATTAACTATAACTGTTAGTTTAAATAAAGATTGCAAAAATCAGATATATATTGGTGGTTTTGAAGATGAATGAGCATTTAGTTGGTATGTTAAGAATTACATTATGGTAATCTGCTTTGCTCTAATACTACAATGAGGAGCTTGACACATTAATCAGAATAGAAGTAGCAAATAGAAAATAAACGTAGTTAGCATATTATCGGAAAGTGAAAGCGTGGGTGGTGTTTAGTTGTATGTGTGCTTGTTCTCAATAATATTGATGTTTCAAGCACTTACGTACCGTTTCTTCTTCCAGCCGCTTCCGAATTACCCAGAGCTGCCTAGCTCCCACTAGCTCAAATGAATTGGTCGAATATACGCTGAGGCCCGCTCAGACGCGCGCGGGTGGTTGTCGGGCTTTGTGTGGCGCGTGCCTTGTTTACAGCAATATGTGTTGATGGTTATTTTCGACCGGAAGCGGCGAGTAGTGACTGGGAGTCAACGGCAGGAGACCAACTAACGTTGGCTGATGAGAGTTGTACGCTACGAGGGTGGTTGTTTTGGTGAGCCTTAAAGAAGCAGCGGAGAGAGTAAGTTGCGGCGCTTAGCACCAAATATATGGTGCAACCAGGGACAACATTTACAAACTGGTTTTCCCAGCGATGACATCACTGTCTTTGTCAATCCGCCAGCATTCAATGCGGATCGCACTACAAAAAAGACCACTTGCGTAGCAGTAGAACAATTGACGGGATGCTCGTAATTTCTGCCGAGGACACGCTCTTGCTTATGACTGTTTATCCGCGGTCGCTTATTCCTAAGCTCGCGCTATTATTCCCCTGGATCTTGATTTTAAAGTTATGATTGGAGGGTACCGTGGGTGGTGAAAGAATTATAGATCAGAAAACATCATTGTCTGTCTTAGTATCGTGGAACGATAGAGGACGTGTTAATCATGCGCTCGGGGTCCTAAATGCGATGTGTCTCACCTCGTGCCACGCATTCTATTAACTAACTCCACTTCATGAATATTCCTTTCCTCCTCGCGGAACCTGAAGAAGAACACATATGCAAAATGCACTTATAAAGTAGTTATAATGCACAATACTTTAATGTGTAAGCAGCATTTTAGTGCCATAACATAAGATGGACATAATTTTAACTACTTTAAGTTTTATAGTTCACTTGATATATACTGTTAAGTTTTTAAATATGTTGCATTGAACTACCTATCAGTTGTTTATTGGAGAAATCTGCAAAATAACTTCTTAATTTAACTTTCTTGTACGTACATTTGTCAAATAAATAATAAATGAAAGGTACATTTATTTCCTGTAGTATAAAGTATAATAAAGAAGAAATACTTTGTACTTGATTAAAAGTTACTTTCTACCAATGATGGCAAGAGACACACTGAATACTTCACAAACTATGGCATTTATTTCAAACAGAGGCTTCTGCTTTGCTTACATTTTTACAATAAATTACACAATGACCATCATCAGATGAGCCTAATAAATACTATTTAGCATTTTTTTTCAATAAGCTCCATTACTTTCTCTTAATCTATGATCCATTTGTCCATATACAGGTTCATACAGCTTCAGCTTCAGGCCATGTACAGGTCGGAAAATAGTTCAGCCGCATCCAAAACCACCATTCTTCTCTTACAAGCACAAGCTATAGAAAAACAAAACAAAATACAAATTAAAGCAAAACATGAAATAAAAAGAAAAGAGAAGATAACAAAAAAAAAATGGAAGAAAGGAAAAAAATAAAAAGAACTATTAAAACTGATGAAAGAGGCCGAACAAAACAACATAATTGAACTCAAAATAAATCTGTTCCTACACAAGAATGAGGACGAAAGGGGCAGAACAAACATGCTGTAACCCTCAGTATTTACACTCGAACTACAGTTAAAACCGTAAAACTGTCTGTACAGAAAAGTACATGTTATTAACAGTGCAAGATATTAAATAGCTTGACTCAAAACACTTCTCAATATACAAATGTATAACAAAAGCATACAATTACATACAAGTGCCAAACAAAATGTAACTTCAGGTTATCATACAGTAAGGGGGGGGGTCTGTACAAAGGAAACACTGGAGATGTCTTCAGAAATGTATACACATACGTCACTTTATGATATAAATGCACATTTACAATATCTTTACCTTTAATCTGGTCATAGTACAGGAAACAGAACCTAACATTTTTTGGTAGGGATGAGTATGAGAGGAAGCTGGCATGTCATTATTGATCATGAGTGAAAAAATTAGAAAGAGATGCCAAAAAAAAAAAAAAAGTACACGTTGCTTTATGTAATGAAGCAAAAAAAATATATTTAATTAAATAACTTCATGTTGTTTGAAACACTGCAAATGTGGGATTCAGCTTCATTTATGTGTTCTGTAGTACTGAGTACATGCTGTAAATACAGACAGTATATATGGCTGCCTTCAAGTTAACTTGATCCAGTTGCGCAGATGTGCGTCATCAAATCTTCAGTGAAGCATTTGGGTCTGGGGGCAGTGGATGTGTGATGAAAACATAATAAAATAAAGCAGATGGGCTTTTAAAAGGCTGATGAACTGAAGTAATGCGACCACTGGATTCACCACCTCCATCATTGCACATTTTTATATACCGCCACACTCAACAGTTATACCCAAGCTGGATGAGTATTCAGTAGTAGATTACAGGTGATCCAGTATAAGAGTTCTGCTTTTACAATTATACTTCTTAAATATTCCCACACACTGATAAAAACCATTATTATCTGTCAGCCCTTCACCGCCTTGCTCACTCATACAGCATTCTTCAGTCTTTTGTAAGGGACACATTATTCCAGCTGACCCTCTGATTTGAGAAGAGGATCAGGAAAAAAAAAAAAGTGCTGTCCTTCCTCAAAAGTGCCCCAAGGAAAAGAACAAAAAGGCACTAACAGTATCATTCCATATTCATCCACTGAGGTTGTCAGCGGACCTACCATGGTCTGAAACCCTAACCCATCGACACCTACATGACTCAATACAAACACGTACAGGACCACATGTCGGTACTGACGAGAGCGATCGTCAACCACTTGAGGTTTAACCACACGAAGGCCTTTTTTTTAATGAGGGTGGACAGAGAAACGTGGCAAAGTTACATTTCCTACGCCCTTTAATGCCAATGTGGCAGTGTTCCTCTGGATTCCCCACGATAAGCACGGCGAGCACGGGCTGTACCATGTTGAGCTATGGGGACAGAGGGGGGGGGGGGTCTTCAAAGGAAATCAT